ACAGTTTATTTGAAAATTCAAAATTAATCCATTATGACTCAAAAAATTAATAAACCAAAGGGGTTGTACTCTCTAAGTGTCTATTATCATGTAAAAATACTAACACAAAACACACTTACAAATTTAATTAGAGTTATACTTTCTGTCTTGCATGTCATAGAGTTTCATCTTTCAGTATTAGTTTCATTTTAATTCTAAATGTTATGAAATTAGTGAGATTGTTCTCCTATGTATATATCTATTTTCAAGTAAAATACATGTTGAGGCCTGAGACTCACATATTACTTTGTAGAGATTAAACTTTCTCTGCAAGTTACAGGAAACCACTTTTCACATAACAATTGTAAGAAGATGCATATCTAACTCATTTCAAATTCAAAAATTATGCAACTAGTGAGAATTATTCACTCTGTGTGTCTATTTTTTTTTTTACAAAAATAAAAGTATAATTTAAATACTTATAGAATTTCACACGAGGCACAAATTGTAACACCCTACTGTATTTAATTTACGCTTAAGTCATAATTACTAAATGCAGTAGTTGCATTACATTAATAAAAATTTTGTTTATTCCATTCCTTCATTTCATATTGATTTAGTAGTAAATTATAGGATGTATAAAGGAGAGAGACGTTATAAAAATAAAAATAAAAGAAAATCAAATATGGAATAACCTGAATAAACATAGTAATTAATTTAACTCATACATTTTACAGAAAGCTAACTAGATATATGTATATAGGACATCGTGTTATTTACATATAGTTAGGAATACATATAAAGACCACTACATACAAAAAGATAAGTGGCCCGTGTCATAAAAGTGTAGTCCTAACGAGACTTCATAGGATAATTTAGAACTAAGATTAGTGTCCTACAACTACTTTTATATCTCAGTAAACTATCCTACCAAAAGAGGGCCATATTGTACAAAGTTAGTTACTCCACCAACTACTCAAACAGAAAGCCATTGGCCATAGCAGGCCCAACAAGAGTATAGTCGTCAGGCCTAGGGGAGGATGATGATGAGTCTATAGCTCCTGATGGGTCACTCTCAGATTCAAGCGGATATCTGGGGATCACCCGCAAAGGCGAAACAGATATAGGTTCTGTATAATCTGCAGGTGTAGAATGTGTCATGGATAGTGAAAATGCAAAATATGGAGTAGCAGGGTCGAATACAGGGTGAAAAAAAGGTACAGAAAAGTCCCTATTACTAAAGAAATAAACCCTAAAATGATACGATCCAACTATATAAAGAGAGTCAAAGGTAGGATCATAGTATAGCTGCATATCTGAGAACTCAATGTAGATCACTGTTGTTGCATATATCATGTAGATTTGAGAATGAAATGGAAACTAAGTAGGATGAGAATTTTGTGTATTTCTATGTGACATCATTTTCATTCTCAATTGCTTCGGTTTTTATTTAAATAAAGGGTTGCTAATCCAATAAGAAAATCTTTCAATTGTAATTATTGAAAATATGGTCCGAAGCAAAGTAAATTTTGTGTCTAACATTTATAATACACAAGATCATAATGATTATAATACACATAAACAAGAAATGAAATAAATAATCAAAAGACTCAACATGAATCATACATGTGACATAATAATACTTAAAGTTATAATTGAAAGCAACATAGAAATGAATTAGTATTAATTAAAATAATTTTAATCACATAATAATATGCTTAATTCTCATATTTGTTCCTATCCTTGGTCCTCTGAGAGTTCTTGGCCATAAGACTCCTAGGTAATATTCTGCTTATCAGGATCCTCGTTCCTATACAGGATTTGTCATGTTTACTTTCTCCAACGCTCCTACCGACTTATTTCCCTTAACTTTTTATCCGAGGCTGGCCCAAGTGATATAGGACTTTCTTATAACTTTCAATCATCTTAAACTTTCATAACTTTCATATTGTATCTCACATATCTCTTTGAAATTTTACAATTTATCCATAATTCTTACAAAATTTGTGCAACATAACAGATCATATTTACTTTCCCATAAATAGTGCCAACTAACAAATAGACATTCACAAATATCATAGCAAATAATTAATTAATTAAATAAATGAAACCTTAAAATTTATGATCCTTTTCTTAAAAGGATAAATTTTGCCTTGTTTTATTTTTACTACGTTTATTGCTATATGACTTTAATAGACCTAAATTTTTTATATGTTGAAGCCCTATTTGTCTATTTTCTAACCTAATTGGTCCCATTCAGTTTTGACAACTACAACTCAAGATTTTTTCTTTCTATGATGACTTGTCCTTTGATTAGTCAGAACAACACTCAAAAATATTAAAATCCACCAAAATTTGAATTCTAAGTGTATGACTACTAAATTCATGTCATTTTAAAGTTAGGGAATCAAACTGTATTATCCAAAAAGTTTCATTTCATTTGGTTAAATAGAACTCAAGTTATAAGGTTCTAAAGTTAGTTGTTATAGGTGATAAATGCTTTCTATACTTGATCCTACAATGTAATTCATGAATGATAATTGAGAGTTTTAAGCTATTCATTGATAAAATTTACTATTATTAATTTAATTTTATTTATATTTCAGGAAAAAGGATCAAAAAGTGAAAGCTTTAAAAGATATTGAGACTTGAAACACATAATGAAGCCAGAGATATACACGAGCAAGTACATGCCTGTATATATGAGTGTGTATCTCACTGGTCGCGTCAATTGAAGTGTATTATCAAAACCAGAGATGTACATGGCCAGATACATGGCCGTGTACATGAGCGTGTACTTTTATGGAAAGCTTTGAAGGGCGTCTATTAGAAAACAGAGATGTACACGGCCAAGTACATGGCCGTGTACTTGGGCGTGTACTTTTACGCGCGTCAGAAATTTAACTTTTGCGAGAAAATTAACCCTAGGATAATTCCTATAAAAGGAGAACTGAACTCAAACCTGGGGAGACAGTTTTTGGAGACGAAAGATTCAGAGACGGCAAGAGGATGGGATTAAGCATTTTATTTCATCTCTTTTGTAATTTTAATTTGAAGATGTTTAGGTTCTAATTTTCCTTTGAGTATCTAGACGTAATGAATCCTAATTGATTAATTTTCTGGAATTCTTCTAATGCTATTTCATGTTCCTTTCTCTTGGGTTTAATTGAGTAGTATCAATTTTCTTCTATCTTATTTTCTTGTTTGAATTTGAGTAAAATTCTTGCATGAATTTAACATTGCTCAATTAAAAAGACTTGAATGTATTTCTAGAGATAGAAAGACGTGAGTTTTCTGTATTAGGATTAACCCTAATTATGGAATTCATAATGAACTTAATGCAACCTAGGGGTATTAATTAAGGAAGAGATTCCGATTAATCAACTGAGGGTTAGGAATCATTATCCTTGAGAAAGGTATTGATTTAAATTAGAATTTCCTGCAGTGATAAGGGTTTGGAACTAAGTAGTTGAAGAAGAATTTCAGTTATTTGGACACTTATGGGGATTTACAGTCTAGATACTTGCCTTTTTACATTGAATACCTTTAGTCATAATTTTCTATAATTTATTTTCACTAGAATATCTGTTCCTTTTAATTTATTATTCTTTTACTTTTAGCAATTTCATCAACAAGGTTTATTTTTCATATTTATTAACAATTACGCAATTAAGGAAAAGTTTCTTAATAACAGTCCCTGTGGATACGACACTTGGTACTTTAATTTTAATTTTAATAATATTACTTCGACAACGAGTACACTTGCCCAGTGATCAGTTTTTACACACCAAGTTTTTGGCACCGTTGCCGGGGACTGTTTAATTAGGATTCCCTTTATTACTTATTTACTAATTTTATTTATTTCTTTAGTCTTGAATTAACTTAACTATTTTGCTTTCATTCTTTTTAGGAGCTGATTTTTCTAGTGTATGATCAAAACCCGTTTTACTGCACTGTCTGAAGAACTATTTGAATTTGACCCAGAGATCGAAAGAACTTTGCGAAAAATTTGGAAAGAGAGACAACTGCTAGTACAGAGGGAAAACGCACAAACACACATGGAAGGAATGGCAAACAACGAAGATCAACCAAGGACCATGTTCGATTATGCTCGTCCATCATTAACTGGGACAGAATCTAGCATTGTTCGTCCGGATGTGCAGGGAAATTTTGAAATAAAGCCCAATGTTATTCAGATGGTTCAGCAGTTTGTTCAATTTGAAGGGTTACAAGATGAAGACCCAAACGCTCACATTGCTAATTTTCTGGAGATCTGTAATACTTTCAAGATTAATGGAGCTATTGATGATGCAATCCGTTTGAGGCTATTCCCATTTTCTCTCAGGAGCAGAGCAAAGCAATGGTTGACCTCTCTCCCGCGAGGATTTATCACTTCATGGGAGGCTATGGCAGAAAAATTCTTGGCGAAATGTTTTCCTCCCGCTAAAACTGCCAAGATGAGGAATGATATCTCTTCCTTCTACCAGTTAGAGACAGAGACGTTATACGATATGTGGGAGAGGTTCAAGGAATTGTTGCGGAAATGCCCACATCATGAGATTCCGGACTGGCTTCAAGTGCAAACCTTCTACAATGGATTGAACCCAGCCACAAGACAAATGATAGATGCTGCAGCTGGGGGCACTTTGAATAGCAAGACACCAAGGGCTGCACAAGAACTGTTTGAAGAAATGGCAATGAACAGCTATCAGTGGAGCTCCACTTGATCCAAACCTGCAAAATCGGCAGGGATCTATAGTCTTGATGCAGTGACATCCTTGGCAATGCAAGTTGAAGCCTTAGGAAAGAAGATTGATGGTTTATCTGTTAACCATCCAGTTGCTCCAGTGATGAGATGTGATATTTATGGAGGAGGCCACCCTAATCATGAGTGTCGAGCTACTCAGGAAGAACATGCCAATGTGATAGGAAACAGACCTCTGTACCAAAATTATAATGGCATGAATAATCCGGGCTGGAGGAACTATACAAACCCACCGTGGAACAACAATTAACAACCAATGCGGAACAACACACCCTCAGGGTTTCAACAAACTCCACATCAACCACCACCCCCAGCCGAAAAGAAGTCAAACCTTGAGGAGCTAATGACCAAATTCATTCAAACCTCAGAATCTCGGTTCCAATCCACTGAGACAGCACTAAGAAATCAACAAGCCTCTATCCATAATCTAGAAATTCAGTTGGGTCAAATTTCTAGACTCCTCTCAGAAAGACCCCAAGGAAGCTTGCCTGGCAATACTGAGACTAATCCTAGGGAGCAGGTCAATGCAGTAACATTAAGGAGTGACAGAATATTACAAGAGAAGGGGAAGCAAGAAACAGAAAAAGATGTAGTTGAAGGGGAGGATAAGTGTCAAGAGGAGCCTGTGAAAAAGCCCCCTGTAGTGAAAGAATTCATACCTCCACTTCCCTACCCAGCAAGATTGAAGAAAGACAAGGATGATGAACAATTTGGTAAATTTCTGTCCTTATTTCGTCAACTTTATATTAATTTACCGTTTGTTGATGCCTTGGCACAGATGCCTAAGTACGCCAAATTTCTGAAGGATCTATTGTCCAACAAGAAGAAATTGGAGGAGTTGGCCACAGTAACACTTAATGAAGAATGTTCAGCAATCCTACAGAACAAGATGCCTGAGAAATTAAAGGATCCAGGGAGTTTTACTCTTCCTTGTCTCATTGGTAGATTGATAGTTGATAGGGCTTTAGCTGATTTAGGTGCTAGCATTAATTTGATGCCATATTCAATTTTTAAGAAATTAGGTTTAGGGGAACCTAAGCCAACTAGGATGAGTATTCAATTAGCTGATAGGTCAATTAAATATCCTAGGGGTATCATTGAGGATGTGCTTGTAAAAGTGGACAAATTTATTTTTCCTGTTGATTTTGTGATTCTTGATATGGACGAGGACACTGATGTCCCCTTGATCTTAGGTCGTCCATTTTTAGCTACTGCAGGGGCTATAATTGATGTGAGGGATGGAGAGTTAATTTTGAGGGTTGGAGATGAAAAAGTCACTTTCAAAATTCCTGATGTAATAAAAAAGTCTTTGAAACAAGATGATTCATGCTACCTTATTAATGTAATTGATGATTATGTTTCTAATTGTGCACAGGAATTCTTGATTTCAAACCCATTGGAAAGAAGCTTAGTTCATGATAGAGGAAAAGATGATATGAGCTTGGTAACTCAAGAACAGTGGTGTCATTTAGAAGCCACTAAGCCATTATGGAGAAAGAGAGACTTCAAAGTTTTGGAGTGGAAATCAGAGAAGCAACCCAACCCATCCATTAATGAACCACCAGATAAAAAATTGAAGGTCTACCATCATAAAAAAATCAAGGGAGGTAAACTATTTCAAAAAGGTGATTTAGTAGTACTGTTGTACAACTCTCGCCTCAAATTATTCCCAGGTAAACTCAAATCCCGTCGGTCTGGACCGTTTACTGTGCATAAGGTATTTCCTTGTGGTATAATTGAATTAACTCATCCAGAAAAAGGAAATTTTAAGGTGAATGAACATAGGCTGAAACTGTACCAAGGGGGTCAAATGCAAACCTTTTGCAAATGAGGAGTTTAAACTCCTCCATGTTAAATTTTGAATGTTGAATTACATTGAATAGTTTAGGTTAGGTAGGTTTAGTTTATTTTAATTTAGTTATTTATTTGCTCATTTATTTATATTTTGAATAAGCATCCTCGCCCCAGCATGAACCCCATCTCCTTCTGACCACTTTCTTAGTATAGATGATGAAGACTTAGATGGTGTGCAGTTTAGTCTGCAATTAGGAGTCTTAGTTGTTGAATTTTTTACTTATGTTATTTTTTAGGATTTAAATTGCTTTTGTCTGTTTATTACTTCTGTTTCTTTATCGCATTATTTTGATCGTTCCACTCCTCTTGTCATTATGAACTGAGTTAAATCTCCTTATAAAAAAATTTTAATCAGGTTTCCTCTCCAATTAAATCCCAGATTAGCTTTACTTCCCACGACTCTTTGCTTACTTATTTACTTTTCAGGGAAGTTTCAGTTGCACTTTAATTCTTATATTTGATTGAGGACAATGCAAATCTTACAATGTGGGGTGGATAATTATAGATGTTTGAACTGAATTGTTGTTTTATTCTTAAGCAATACTGAGTCAATTTTACTGTTGCATAGAAGATGATATTCCTGAAAATAAAAAAATAAAAAAAGATTCATATGCAGTTATTCTAGATATTGGATTTGTGTTTTTGATTGTTTCTCGATTGAAGTATCGGTAGATTTTTCTGATTTGAGGACCTTGAATCTATGCCCTTGAATCTATGCAATTTTTTTTTAAGAATCGTTAATATCTTAAAAATTGGGGCTCTGCTCAGAAATAAAAGAGCATGCCATAGAAGCATATCTAGTTGAATGTGGATTGCAGGCAATGTCCGGATATCACATCCTAGAACCCCGAAATTGTTTGAGGTACCGATGTGAAAAGCAAGGGGTGAAATTTTCCATTAATACCTTGTGCTAATTGGGATGGAGCATAAAATGCACCCTATTAGCCGATCATGGCTCAAAGTAAAGAAAATTAAATAACACCTTGTGGAAGAATTCAAAGTTTTGAATTAAAATTTTAAGAGCTAATGGTAGAGAGGTCCTTATTTCAATTCTGTCTGAAGTTACAGAGGTCGAGAGCAAAAAAAAGCACAATTTGATATTTAAGAATTACTTTCCCTCTAAAAAAAAAATAAAAAAAATAACAATAATAAAAATTTCAGGAATTTGATTCTTTGTTGTTAAGGGTAAAATTGATCCATTCCTTTGCTTGGGGACAAGCAAAAGTTCAAGTTCGGGAGAATTTGATAAATGTTTTCTATACTTGATCCTACATTGTAATTCATGAATGATAATTGAGAGTTTTAAGCTATTCATTGATAAAATTTACTATTATTAATTTCATTTTATTTATATTTCAGGAAAAAGGATCAAGAAGTGAAAGCTTTAAAAGATATTGAGACTTGAAACACATAATGAAGCCAGAGATATACACGAGCAAGTACATGCCTGTGTATATGAGCGTGTATCTCACTAGTCGCGTCAATTGAAGTGTATTATCAAAACCAGAGATGTACACGGCCAGATACATGGCCGTGTACATGAGCGTGTACTTTTATGGAAAGCTTTGAAGGGCGTCTATTAGAAAACAGAGATGTACACGGCCAAGTACATGGCCGTGTACTTGGGCGTGTACTTTTACGCGCGTCAGAAATTTAACTTTTGAGAGAAAATTAACCCTAGGATAATTCCTATAAAAGGAGAACTGAACTCAAACCTGGGGAGGCGGTTTTTGGAGACGAAAGACTCAGAGACGGCAAGAGGATGGGATTAAGCATTTTATTTCAACTCTTTTGTAATTTTAATTTGAAGATGTTTAGGTTCTAATATTCCTTTGAGTATCTAGACGTAATGAATCCTAATTGACTAATTTTCTGGAATTCTTCTAATGCTATTTCATGTTCCTTTCTCTTGGGTTTAATTGAATAGTATCAATTTTCTTCTATCTTATTTTCTTGTTTGAATTTGAGTAAAATTCTTGCATGAATTTAACATTGCTCAATTAAAAAGACTTGAATGTATTTCTAGAGATAGAAAGACGTGAGTTTTATGTATTAGGATTAACCCTAATTATGAAATTCATAATGAACTTAATGCAACCTATGGGTATTAATTAAGGAAGAGATTCTGATTAATCAACTGAGGGTTAGGAATCATTATCCTTGAGAAAGGTATTGATTTAAATTAGAATTTCCTGCAGCGATAAGGGTTTGGAACTAAGTAGTTGAAGAAGAATTTCAGTTATTTGGACACTTATGGGGATTTACAGTCTAGATACTTGCCTTTTTACATTGAATACCTTTAGTCATAATTTTCTATAATTTATTTTCACTAGAATATCTGTTCCTTTTAATTTATTATTCTTTTACTTTTAGCAATTTCATCAACAAGGTTTATTTTTCATATTTATTAACAATTACGCAATTAAGGAAAAGTTTCTTAATAACAGTCCCTGTGGATACGACACTTGGTACTTTAATTTTAATTTTAATAATATTACTTCGACAACGGGTACACTTGCCCAGTAATCAGTTTTTACACACCAATAGGTTGCTCTATTTTTGACTCAACAGCACTAGGGAATACTTCAGAAAAACTTCTAGGAATTGCTCAAAATGAATTGGACTTTGACATTTTTATGGTATAAACTAATATATCTTATCTTTTTAACAAGTTTTGTTTCACCTCAATCCAAGTTATGTGGAATGAGTTATGTCTTACGCAAGCTTACCTGATCAAAATCAAAGTCTGAAACTTAAACCAAACTTCAAAAATTCATAACTAATTTTATGCTAATCTAATTGCTTAATAATTTATATGTATAGACAGATGTGGAGTCTAGTTAAATTTAAAAATATTTTTATAATATTTAAATGGTAAATAATTAATCGACACAGCATATTTGTACGGAAACCCTAGAAAAATCTATTTTCAGACTTGCTGTTTTCTTTCTCTTCTTTGTTTTTCTACTTGATCTACCTTCAAACTAGTATTAAAAGATTTAAAACATAAAATAGATAGGCACACACATCCATATAAGCATATCAACATAGATAGAACCCTACCTCCTTTGACCACCAATTTGATTCCAAAGATGCTTCTAATTTGCAATTATCGGTGAGCTTGAGAGAAAAGTTTATGGAGGTAAGAAAAGGAGAAAGATGGAGAAGAGAATGAGGGAGAGAAGTGATGAATTTATAAAAAGATAAGGGAAAGCAAAATATCCAAGTGGCCATGATGAATGGAGTTGCTTGGTAAATTTTGATTGGTTCATAAATCTTGTGGTCTCAATTGAGTCACGAGGTTGATTCTGAGCCATTGGATCAAGGTGAGGTGGATGGCTTCCTACCGTTGGATCTAAGGCAACTAATATTATTTTATTCTGGTAATTTAAATTACTGAAACTATACTAGTTTCTCTCCTAAGAGAAAATTATACTATAAATTCTTAATTCTATTCTACCTAATCAACATAGATTTGAATTCTAATAAATATTCAATTAATCTATTACTAACCTTATTCATATAAATTAATCAGGAAAATCAATTAATAGCATAAAATAGACACTTAAAAATTTTGGACGTTACACAAATTGCTTCTAAATGTCACAAAGTTTCCTTTTCTAATAACATTTTATTAAAAAAATCATGATTAATTTATTTTAAATCCAAATATAGTAAAATTAATAGAAAATTACTCCTAATATAGTCCTTTATCTAAATAAAATACCTATATAATTTATTTTAAAATAGTCTCTGATATTTTTAAAAAATTATTGTTTAGCCTGTGAATTTTTTTTATTTGCAAAAGGTCATTTTTCTAAAATTTGATAAATTTTTGTTTGTATAGCACATTTCCTCCATATTCCTAAGTCACTTTCAAGTCTCAACATAGTCAATATAGTTTCTTTGGTCCAACTACTTTTTTAAACAAAACTTTTAAAGTTTTAAAGTCAAATTTATGGTTAAAATATAGTATTTTCTTATATAAAGGTTCAATTTTTCAACATTAATTTAAAACTTTAGAATCTCATGTCTCTTTCTCTTGTTAAGGTGGTTCAAAGCTATTCAAAGTTTCAAAAATTCCTTTCATTGTAATTTTCAATTTTTGGTCCATTTTATCTTAAATTCTCTTTTCAAAATCTCCCAAAATTCATTTAAAATATCAGTTAAATTTAAAATAATTTAATCAACTTTAGAATAATTCTAATAAAAATAGTTATATATATATATATATATATATATATATATATATATATAGGGAAGGATCTTCTTACATCAGTCTAAGTTTAAAAACTTACATCTAATCTGAGTTTTTCATTTAACTGAAATCTAATAGCCAGTAAAGCAATAAATTATAACCCGTTAGATTTAAGTTAAATGAAAAGTTCAAATTGGGTATAACAGTTTTTAGACTTATATTGGTGTTAGAAGATCCTGTCCTTATATATATATAATGTAAACTTTCTTTAAATTTTTGTAAAAAATCCTTTTTTTTACCTAACCAAAGTTGAAATTATAAAATTTATGTTATTGTTATTATAATTATGCCATACAAATATCTAATTAAGATTAAAAACTCAGTTCATGTATAAAAGAAAATATTTACTGAGACAACACTTATTTCAAAATAGAAAACACCAAAATTTATAGAAAATTTAAATAATTTCAAAGCATGAAACACCATATATTCATCGTAATATCAAGAATATATCATATAGCAAGTAAGGTCATCAATAAAAAATTTTCATAATATCCATTTATAATTTATTATGTTGTTTTTATAGAAATTTTTGTTTTCGCTATTTTTAGTGGTTTTTTTTATTTTTCTTTTTCTAGTCAATTTTATTTTTATGCAATCACCAAGGCCACAAAATTTTCATAAATAAAAGGGATTAAGGGTTTTCCTTAACCCAAAAATTCATTAGCATAACATTTCTTTTGATTCATGAAAGATACTATCCTCTCTTACTTGATTTTGTCTCTTTTTGGTTGAAATGTGCTTTGAGGGATTGATTCTCTTTTCTCTTTACAATATTTAATAGATTTTGACTTCCTCTTTGCTCCTTTAAGTTAGATTCTCATGTGCTAATTGAGCTCTCAAAGCGTTATAGTTTGTTACTTTATTATTTTGGTGGGGTAGTCTTGTGTAGGTTTTTCTTGAATTTTTCATGAATTTGGTCAAGGAATATTACATAGTTGATGGTGTGGGGTTTGGTTATTGAGTGTTGGTTACTATCAAATGATTTAGAAAAGTTCTAAGTTGCTGAATTTGGAAATTTGTCAAGTGTTTCTCTTTTGCTTCTACAAGGTTTATGTGAAATGGCCTTGGCTTTTGCATGGAGTTTTCAAAAAAAAATTCTTGCTTTATTTGGTGCAAGGATCTTACAACTAAATAAATGGGTGTTAAACCAACGATTCTCATGTTGAAGCCAACTTCACAAGGTCTTGTTCTATGTGAAAAGTTTTCACAAAAGTCTTGCACATTTTTGAATTTTTTGCCCTTATAATGTCACTTTGTTATCCCATTTGTACTTGCTTGGTTAATTATGGAGGGGTTTTTAGTTGTGATTTAGTTAGGCTAATCGGCTAAAGTTAGTCATTAACTCAAGTCTTCCTTCCTGGTGTTTTGATATACTCATCCTTTTTTTCATTAGTTTCTTTTTGTTTAGCTCATTCTACACTATAATTGGATAAATTTGACTTCTATTTGAAACTCTAGCAATATGCCAATTGTTCTAATTTAAAAAGATTAGAATATTGAAAAGTTTTGTCTAAATGTTGCACCATGTCCATGTCATATGCAAGCCAACTTTTAGGAAATTTTGCAAATTTTTATACTTAACTTTTAGTCTTACTTTTTGAATGTCCATAACATTATTTGATATAATAAATTACCATAAAAGTTTCAGATTTTTCTCATGTCATGATCTTACTCAAAATAGGCCAACATCATAGGCCTATCCTAGGGCTCTTTTGGTCATTTTTTTGGTCAATTTTGCAACTGGTATTTGATTTCATATTTTTGTTTCCTCTTATATAAATAAAATTCTCATATACCTTAATTTAGATAGTTAAGAATCATTTAATGTAATTTTAAAAAATAATTTCTAATTTGATTAGTTGCTTTTCAAGCAATCATTAAAGGTGTATAATAGGTCTATTTGGATGTTAGTTGAGCTTAATTCCATTATTTAAATGATGTTTTACGATGTTGGGTCTTTAATAAATTTATATGAATTTCTTACTTAATTCTCAAATTTTTCTACATCTTGACCTTTCTCCCTTGTGTAGGCAATATCTGGAGTTGTAGATATTTGATTTGAGTGATCTTGGTAGCTTTAGAAGGCTAAGATAGAGATCTACAATTTCTTTAGAAATTCATGTTGACTAATTTGATCAAATTTAAGGTCAAAATTGGGTCCAAAGTTGAACACAAGTTGTTGCCAAATAGTAAGACTCTCCCTCACTTAAGTGGATACATCTCATTCAATTTAGTTTCAAATCAAGCAAATTGTATGTCATTGGAAAACTTATTCAAAAGGATTTTAATTGGACTAAGGGTAGCTTAGGAATTTGACTTATATCAGATAATTATTTTAAGTTTTAGAGGAAATTGGAAAAACACTTGGTTTCATAATTTTTGAATATAATTTTCTTTGTTTTTTTTTTTTTTTCTGAAGAGGTCTCTTTTCTCTGTAAACTCTTGACATTTTCTTAGTTTTGAGCATCCATAGAGATAACCAAAAGAGGCTAATTTCACAATCAACCTAGAGGATTCCTCATTGCAATGGTTGGGTTATGAGGTTTTGTGTTTATACTTTGAATTCAAATTATGATTTTTCCTTCTTTCTTTCGATTCTGAATTTACTTCAAATTAAACTTGACTGAGTTTAATTAATATGATTTGATTAAACAAAATCTTAATGATTCAAAAATTGGATAATTAATTTCAAATTAATCAATTTAGATTTGATTAGGTTCAATCAGAGGCCTAATCACAAATTTGAGATTAAGGTTAATCGAATAGAATATAGATCAATTAACATAGCATTAATTGTGTGGTTGCTGATTGGTGCATGTATATTGTTAAATGCTTGAAGGTGAATATAGATAATTCGAGATTAATAGAATGGAACGGAATCGTATCTATTCTGACAATCTGTGATGAATTGAACCATTACATAATAGTTTCTTAGGTTAAACTTTGTTAATTATTTTTTTGAAACAATTTTCATGTTGCCTTTGATTAATTGAATATTGTGGCATGATAAAATCCTCCAAACATGTCTTTCCTAATTGTATTCAATAGTGGAAGTATTCTATGGAGTTTAACCTAGGTTTCATCATATACTACATTTGTTAAATACCTACTTTATTTGATTGCAACTTTGCAGATCACTACTTTTGATCATACAATACTTGCATCTCCTAATTCTTCCTTATTTTTAGCCTATTTCTAGGTCAATTTTGTAACATCTTGATTTTTGCTCCCTCCATCTTAATATGTGTCAACACAATTTTATCTCTTTCAAAAGCAATTAAATGTATTTTACAAAATTTTATAATTTTGGTTAAAGAAGTTTTGAGATAAAAGTATTTATTTTGTTTCGTTCAAATAATTTGTCGATATGTGTTTGATTTTTATCAGATGGATCTCAATGCTTTGGATTATTTAGAAATCCCATAATTATATTTAAGTTGTAAATGCTATATGCACTAGCAAAGGTGGTGCAATAGTAGTATGGTTAGTCCTTAGTATAGAGTTAGAAGTCTTTGGGTTCAAACCTTAGCAAGGTAGATTTTGCTTCAACAAGGTTTTTCAGGATTTTAATTCATAGAATGAATCACGAAATAACCTGACTACCCTCATGATTTCATGCATGCATGAGATAGGTAACAAAATCATGAGATAGGTGACGATAAGTGGCAAAACCATAAGATAGGTGGCGAAAAGTGGCAAGACCAGCCCTTACATGCGTGACACATGTGCAACCACGTGTTGAAAGGTGGCAAGCCCTAACATGCATAATGCTATGTGTTGCCATTTGTTGAAAGGTGGCAAAGAAAGAAGAAATGTGGCATGCATGTGTAGAGCCAAGTGTTGAAGAAGGAAAGAGTGCCATGTGTAATGCCATGTGTGCCCTTGCATGCGTTGAAGAAGGAAAGCATGCTATGTGGCATTTAGTGAAACACTATTCTCCCTCACTGTGAAAAGTTCTTTTTCACACACTCTCGGTTTCTCTCTTCTCCCTAGCATTCTCTTCAATTTTTTAGTGAGTTCTGGCCTAAAACTCGCTACTCCTCATCACCAAAAGGTGAACCCCTTCCCCCTCCACACAAGGAAGAACCAAACCTGCACTTTCTTTCTTCTTGGAAACCCCATCCGTGACTTTGCTGTACCAAGGGAAATCATTTTTGCCCTTGCATGTTTAAAAGGAGTGTGTTGATTGTTCTCTGAACATTCAAGCAAGGTAAAAATACTCTTTCATCTTTCTTTCTCAATGTTTTCACCGATCAAAGTAAGAAGATAAAGATTTTGCACCTCCTTCATGAAAAAGCTTGGAGCTTTCTATGTCCAACCACTGTGTGAGTAAATTTTGACCATCTGAATGTATTTTGTTTATCCTAACCTCTGTATATTTGGATTGTGCAGTGAAAAATCTTTCTAACCCAACTTGTTTTACCAAAAATAGACATCAGATCATTGAGTTACAAGGAAAACAATAAAATACAGCGACAAGGGAGACTGATTTTTATTTTTTTGGCCTTTGAACCTTGCATGCAATCATTCCGTTTTGATCCTCACAAAATTAGCTTTCAAACACAAGTGGTTTCACTCAAAACGGACATCAAAATCATAAGTTATAGCGAAAATAGTGAGATCTCTCCTTGTTTTGTGTTTTCAGTGTTTCAACAGCAAAATAGACTATTTTTTGTCATTTTTGTGATCTCCAATCCTAACACGCAAAGTCCCTATATATTTCTTGCAAAATTATCTTTCCAACGATGTATCTTGAGCTCAAATTTAACATCATTTGTCCCCTCAATTGCGTAGAATATGTGAGCATTTTCATTTTTACATTTCCTACAGAAACAGTATAAAGAAATAAATTTTACGCCATCTTTACAGAGTTTCTTCAACCCAAAAAATTTATTTTTATAAACTACATGAAAATAGCTTTCCAACGCACCTTACAAATGAATTACAAAAATGGTGCAAAGCTAAAAAACCTATGTGAACAGCAGTGAAGTTTGATTTTTCTACAATTTCTTGTGTATTAAAACTTAATTTTTAAAAGCTGATTTGATCCTTAGGATCTTAGCTTTCTTACAAAATTTGCAGATCGTGATTTTGACTTCGTTTGAATCTGTTAGCCTTAATTTTATAAACGTTGCACAAATATTAATTTTTCCAAATTTTTGCAATAAGTGCATGGCTATTTTTGAATTTTAAAAAAACTAGCTCTTGGCCATTTTGGCTCAAAGGATTTTGATAAACTCTTCTCTGAACTGGGAATGCAATAAACAAAGAAACTGCAAATTTTGACACTCAGAAGTCCAAGAAAAAGAGCCTGCAGACTACCTCACTCACCAAGGTAAGGGGGTAGAGGTATTTCAAGTAAACAGTAAGAAAGGAAATAAATCAAAGAGGGTTGTCCCTTAACCCTGAGGTCTAGAACACATGTATTAGGAGACATATGGTGTTTGAATTACATGTTGACATATTAGAATTTTTACTCGAGACTTTCATGTTTTAAAATGTATTTATGAGCTATTTACTCAAAAGTTTGTTGAAAACCAAAAGTTGATTTAATGAAATGCTTTATTGAAATGCCCAAGATGAGTATGTATGACTTTAATGTGTGCTTTTTGAAAATATATGGTTTGGTGCATGTGTTGATTGTGTAAAGCACTAAAAGTATGCATATAGGTATATGCAGGCTGAGTGAACACCATTTGTGAATGCATGATGATACGCTAAGAAGAAATTGGTATGTAAGTATATGCGTTCTAAGGAGTTCAGCCATGGTTTCAACTCCGACCTTGAGTTCAATAATTGAATTTAATGACTAAAAGTAAACCTTTGTGAAAACTTTATATTCTTTCTATTCAAAAGTAAGTGAGTAGTGTAACGCTAGCTGGGTAATGATTGGAAGTCAAGGAAAGAGATTAACCTAGTGAGCTTGGAACACTTAGAGAAAGTGCATTGAGGCATGGGTATAAGTACTTGCCAATTCTCTATTCAGAAGTGAAACTCTAAAAGTGTGCATGACTATTCAGAAGGCAAATGTGTGCGATATCCTACTCCCTTGTGAAGGAAGTCATGAGATTATTTTATAATTGTTGTTGGTGAAAGATAGGGAGGACTCGATGTATAAGGGATTTAATGGAGTTGGGTGACTTACTAATAGCCCACTGAGTGTCCTAGGCCCCAGAACTTTCGTTGGGAGTCACCACATGATACTCCTTTATCCTGACCGTCTCCTGAGGCTTATTTTGTTAGTCGAGCTAGATTGGTTGGTGGAGGTTCGAGTCCCTACCATACATGTGAAATGTAGGCTGGCTAGTGAAACTCCCAACAATTTCTGAACAATAGGATTGTTATGGATCTAGAGTCGCATAAGCATAAAAATGAGAATTTGCCAAATGAAGAGTTATCATTTGCACTAATCATGCATCATGTAATTACAATTGCAAAACTTACAATTGTATTAATGTGATGTATGCTCGTACTTACTTTGTTTTGTTTCTTTTTTGAAGGATATTTACTTGAAAATATATCTCACTCCTTCTTTGCTTTGTTGAAATATGTTGTGGTGTTGGACATTTTCTTTTAATATTCATAGATCTTGAGTGTAACACCCCTATTTTTATTATTTATTGGTTTTGTATTTCGTATGAGTTGTTAATGCATGTTGCTTGAAATTACGAGAGTTTTAAATGTTTAAGTTGCAAGATTTTTTGCCGTAGCGAGATGTGTCTCGCTGTAGCGAGAAATCAGCCTCTAGAACCAGGCATTCTAATTCTCTCTCGTTGTAGCCAGAATCTTCTCGTTGTAGCTAGAATGACAGAAAATAAAGTGTAATTTTGTTTGATTTTTTCCGTTGTAGCGAGAATCGCTCGCTGTAGAGAGAATGTCGCTAGTTGAGGGGTATTTAAGGGTTTCCAAATTAGGAAACTTGGATTATAATCCAAGTTACGATCCTGATACGTTCTCTCTGACTTCTCTCCTCATTTTCTCAGCAAATCCCTAAAAAACCTCAACTTTTCTTTGATAAAAGATTGGAAGATCACTTGCCTTGTTCTTTGGTAAGTTTTTAGAGATTGGTTCTCCATTTCCTTGGTTCTTTTCTTCTTCTTCCTCCTCTAAATAGAAACTCTTGTGATATTTAGGAAGAACTTAGCCTTTTGAGCAAGATCTCTCAAAAACCCTTTACTAAACCTTCATTTCAAGGTAAGGAGAGCTCTATTTTGTTATTAAGGAAGTGGTATGCTTGTATTCATGAAGATGTTGTGATGAAATGTATGATTTTAAGTATATGTTGGATAAAAACATGTTTTTGTTATGTTTGAAGCCTGTTTTGTGATGTTTGATGATGTGTATGATTTTTATTTTGACTGTATATGCATGTACATGGTAGACTGAGTTTGAGGAAACTAACTCTCGGCAATGATTGATTTTTGTGTGATATAATAATGAACTAGAGTAAAAGAAAGAGATAAAAGCATGAATAATATGTTAATAAATAGATAGTGAGAAATATAAAGATGATATGGGACATATGGAAAGAGAAATGAAATGAGAATGGAATATGATAAGGATGAGTATGGATAGTTCATAGGTACACTGGGAGTGTGGAAGATAAAGACAACTGAGAAGTCTTGGGGAAATGAGGGTGGTGGATGCTTCTCTTAAATTGCACAAAACAAATGAGAGTAGGAGCACCATAGGCCTCACACTCGTTTTCTGACTAATACTTCTGACTATACTTTTACTAAAAGGGGCCAAGTCGGCATATATTGTATCCATATAGCTGCGGCTATCCAGCGACTATCTATGCTAAGGAAGACCTTGAGGGATTCCAAGGGCAGTGAAATGAGAAAAGGAAAATGTTAGTAGTAATGAACTTAAGTAGAATAAATTAAGGTATTAATAATCTTCTTGTATAATGCTTATATGATTGCTTTATCTGTATTATTGAATTATTATGATTGTATGCTTAGTAATGAAAATAGAGACTCATTCTTACATAACCATTTCAGGAAATCAGGATGACAGCACCCTTCGAGAGGATTATATTAGTAGATAGTTCTATAAATAAAGGTTAAATTATGTATTTAATGAGTATTAATGACTTTGTTTCTTTAGGATTGTTGTATATGAAAGTGATATACCTAGTGACATTATTATGATGGAAATGAAATTAGCATATAGTATCCTTTTTTATTTTCCTATAAGTAGAATCCATCATACCCTATGTGTTCACGTATCATGACTATGATTATCTTAGAAGACCATCTCATTGGACGTTTGAGCGGATTACTAGTACCCAGATTACTACGGACTCTGGTGACGTATATCTCGGATCAGATGACGACCTCGATTCCAAAGATATTGCAATGATAGAGGGATGGCACGGAAATGACTAGTGTCTCTTTGGTCACGTGATGGATAGGCTGCTCATTAGGACTCGTTATGTTTTGTATTTTGTAAATGTTGGAAATGAAGTCCTAATGTATTTTATTGTATTTTAATGAATATTTTGTAAACGTTAACATTATGTATATTATGAGAACAATGTATGTTCATGTATTTTAATGCTTCTTCTTCAGGTTCTATTTAATCATTACTGATTCGTAATTCAAAGTTTTGTACAATTGAGCAAAATGAACGGAATATATGATAATTTTACTATTATATTTGATCGGTAACTAAAAAAGTTATCTAATTTTCCATTTAATTTTGAAATTCTACTATTATTGTTTTAAATAAAATAAGGATGTTACAATTGGTATCAGAGCAGTTCTTACAAACCGGACTGGGGCATGAAACTAGTTGTCTATGCTATGTGTTCTTATATTCTTGCTTAACAAGAATATGAGTTGATTGACTGTTAGAATAGCCTGTTTGATTTTCCAAATAGGAATGTGTGTGATTTGTTTGCCTTGATTGTTTATGCGCACTGGCGAAAATAATGGTTGCTAATAAG